TCTCTATTTCCGTCGCGGCAAAAAGACTACACTGCTTCCAGCGGGTCACTGGTCCAAGTCCTAGCACATCTTGCTCTGCAATAGCATCAATGTTTTCCTTATGATGGCCGTCGCGTTCGACGGATGAAGGTAAACACAGATAAAGCAAGGTAAATGCTGAGACAAACCATGTTATTTTTGAACAAATATTATTATTATTCAAAGTGTTTAGAGTCAAAAATAGACAGATAACAATAACACCAATGCGGAAACTTATAAAAACAACTAATACAATGATATTTACCTTTCACTTCAGCTGGCAGCTAGTGCTTTTTTTAACTTTATCTCGGTGCGAAAGATTTAGAAAACAATACACAATACATCAATTTTTCGTACCATTTTAAAATATTAAACATGTTGTAACAGCGATCTTCTCTTACATCGATTTACGATCATTCACGTACAGTAAATATATCTAATACCCTACTAATATTTAAAAAAAAATATGTATTTTTTTATACATGTATATATAAAATAGATATGTATATAATACGCTTGAAATTCCCTTCGTTGTTGGCCGATCTGGTAGACATGCTCTCGTATGCTGTTTACTTCCACTGTGGAGTTACTTGCTCCCTTAAATAGTAGATGAGAGTAATTCTGAAGCTTCTAAATAAGATGCCAATTGGATAATTATACAAAAACATATAAGAATTACGAAATTGTTTACCATTATTTTCATGAAAATGTAAACGTTGTGTAAATTGCAACTCTGTGAATAAATACATATTTGTATTGTATTCAGCTGTAGAAAAGATAGATTCAATGTCTAAAAATGAAGTTGGATCTTTGAACCAAACTAGCGCCTTTTAATTAAAAAAAATCGAAATATGTAATCAAAGTTTTGCCCGCTACTTATGGGCCAATCTTAGATAACCGTGATTATCTGTGTAGGGTTTGGCCGTAAGTGTTAATTTTCAAATATGGGCTTTTAAACAACAGGGAACTTCAGATGGTAAACAGTTGGTTTCTCACAAATAATGCACGCTATTTATCTATAAACCACACCGTGGTAATCGTTAGTCTCGGGTGAGTTACCTTCATTCAAAACCAAAATTAAGCCAGGTCAATGGAAATAATATAGTACCGGGTTATTTTCGTTTTTATTTGTACCGAATGAAATGTAAAAAAAATAATAGTTCAAATGAAGCACAACTTAATTATTTTACAGAAGGCACACCGTCTACATTTATCTTTTATATTTCGAGTTTTCCAACTCGAGACTACAGCGTGTCTCTGAGACAAGCAGGCAAAAACCTTACCCACTAAGCTACCAAACAGATTTATCCTACCAGATTAGTACAACCATTCCCGTGATAGCTTAGAGAATAATGCATTTGATCATAAGGCTTAGGAATATGTTATGGTTTAAATTCCAACTCAAGCATAAACAAATTTCGTTTCATGCTGGAGGCCAGCCGACTTATGGAATGAATTCGAAATATAGAAATGTTACAAGCGTATCCGGCGGATTTTGAAACTGAGTTACCTTTGAACTACTATCAATACTCTAGTCTTCTGCTGAAAAACAGCTGGGTTTACTCAAGGTGAGATGAATTCAGAAGATAAAAACGTCTTTTAGTCTGTCTTTCTTTTCTTTTTTTAATCTTTTAGTTCGACGAAGGCCAGAGAGCTGCGGAAATTCATTGAAGATTGGTGAAAACTTTAGGCAAGTAAGCCTTAAGCAAAAACACAATATGTAGATGAGCGTTTTAAAAACAGAGATTGGAGTGTTGACGACCATTTAAGGACCAGATGTAGAAATCCAAGGACAGGAAAACGTTGCCGCAGTTGCTGTGAAAACTGGCATTACATATGCAATGCGTTACAAAGTTACAAATGCTAATTTTTTTTTAATGAATTATGATTACTGAATTAGAATTAAGTACTGAAAATGTTGAAACCGCATGAGAAATATGTTTCCCGCAAATTGACTCCAGATCAGTTGACAATGCGCGCAGTGTACTCCCTGTGTGATTTGCGGAACTTTAATAAAAAAAAACTTGTCTTAGGCACACGGTCGCCATAGATGAGGCAATATATTTAATCTCTGCCGCAAGCCGGAGACGAACCATGCACGAGAACTGTGTCGTCCTAGAGAGGAATCGAATTTGATGACGAAATAAATTCGGATATAAGGTGATGGTAGTATTTACAATAGATATCAAATGAATCTGCCAGTATGTGATATTAGTCGTGTGTGCCAGTATGTGATGAAATGGTGAATACAGCGCGTTATTTCATATTTCTCAAGAGACTTATAGAATGTTGGCATGCAATTGAAAGCACGCAGCCTAGTTACATAATAAAAACGCACGACCTCATTTCCATGAAATTAATTACTTTCTGGATTGAGTGAAGAAACATTCAACGTCGTCTTCAATCCGCTTGTACTTTAGACCTAAGTCCATGTGATTATGAACCATTTCACGACCTAAAAAAGGCAATTGGTAAGCAAGCATATTCCACTATCGATTTACTTCGAGAAGTTACAGATAGATAAATTACATATGAAAACGCGAATGGTAGGTACATGATTCTATAAAAACAAGCGTGTAAAAAATTAAAACGAATGCCTTTAATGCATATTATAAAATCAGCATTACAGCCTAACTAGTGCAGAAATTATTCAATTTCGAAGTCCCCCGGATTCGCTTGTAATACCTTAACACACATCGTTTCGTTTTGCGTTAATTATATATTTTTAATTTCAATTGTCCGATTATAGAATATAAATAACTTTGGGCAAATTAGGGTGCTAAATTTCCTAATGAAATCGCGTGGGTATATTGAAAAGTACAGTATCTGAAACACTGATTCTTGCGTCGGATATACATACACAACTTACGAAGTTGATGATTCAGAGTTTATGGTGGAGGCTATGCAACGCGGACCTACTTATAACATGGCAATTTAAGTAGTTCACTGTTATCCACGTAGGGTTTAACATAGTCACAGCTCCAGTGATGGCTGCGACGGTAGCAAGGCTGGTATCACAAGCAAACTCCAGCGACCTTTAGAGCCAGAACTTAATGCGAACATTACGCCGAAAGCCGGCCAAAAATTAAGGACCTATAGTAAAACTCCAGGCTTGTAAACCCCTATATCTACTTATATCAACTTCCGCGAATTTGCCTTCACGAGTCCTTTTAGGTCTTTATATTTGGACATGCAATAAGACTCGGTTTCTTCACCTTTGTCCTTTATTTATGAACGGAGAACGGTTGAGAGGTTTGGGCGGTAAAAAATTATTTTCGTTTCGGCACACATTTGCAGCACATTGCGAATGACAAATCAGTATGACGGAATCCTAAAGAAGAAATCAGAAATAAAGGGACTTATTTTTTTATGGGATACGCATAAAACGTAATCGAAAATGAATGGAACGTTCACTCACTTGTTTTTTGTTAGCTCAATATTAGAAGCCACACCCACCGAAAAAACTATGCAATAAGATTTTGTCGGCTTTAGAGTCCAAAAGGCCGATAACATCATCTACCTAGATTTCGAGGCATTAAATACGCTAGTACGTCTGCTACATACGGCTCATGTGTAGTTTTTGAAATATCCAATGTTTTATATATTAATATTTAAATATCTAGCGAACAAATGGCATCCCTAGACATGCAGTTTATTTAATTACGATAATATGAAATTTATAAGAATGTGCTTAGATGAAGCCGCAGTTGGGTATTCAGTAGGTTCCACAGACTATTACATTTTTATTTTAACATACCTATCTATAAGACTGAATCCATACTTTAAGATATTAGTATATAAGTACATTTATAGTATATAAGAAATCGAATTTACTTCACTAAGGAAATTTTCCGAAGAGCTACACGGATGATAATCTAATAAAATCAAGCTTATATGACGAGGCACTTTTATGCTCAGAATTAGCATTATCCCTATGAAAGATGCTTTATGGGTATTCTTCTAAATTTTGCTTTTATCCAGCACAGGTTATGCGCTGCATCGGTCAGGATCGTAGGCAAAGCACGCCGATTTACTTTTGTGAAAATGGTTGTTACTTTAAACGATAAGCTTTGAGCCACTGAGGTGCTCAAACATTCGAGGATTTAACATTTTGCTCGACATACTTATTAATCTAAAATACAAAAACTGCCCAAACTCTTTTAACGAAAAATAATATTTCCATTCGCAAGCTCTGTTATCACCATTGCATCACTCGGCTATTGCTGTTTTTTCACGTCGAAGTGTCCTGCCGTGATGCAGGCACGCCACTTCCAAGCTGCGCGTTCGATAGCTGACATAGGCTCGTACACGCGATATATTTAGTTGCCAGTTGGTATAGCTTTCATTCTTTCTGAAAAGCAACAAGCGTTATACAATAAGCATGCTTGTTTTGGTGTCCCAGTTTTTTAGAATGGGAAACTACGACTTCACCACAGATATGTGTAAGCAAGCCACGTTTCTGTTACATTCCTGACAGCCAGATGGGTTAACACGAACGGACTCTTTGCTTTACCAATTCAAAGAGTGATTTTCAACCTCCGTTGTTTTAGTAAAGGCTTAGAAATAAAGAAAGATTTGGGTGCGTGGTTTAAGTCCGCTGCTAGTGCCAAGCAACAGGTACATTATTAGCTCGATCTCTGGTGTAAAAATGTCTTTCTTTAAAAACCACTGATTTCCACGCATCTGCATCCCTTGCCCATAATGCTCATAAGGCAGTTAAGAAAGCTTGTACCCATTTCGGCAGCTTTGTGAGCTCAAAGAGTTCTGTATGTGAGTCCCTTAAACTAAATAAAGCTGCGTAAACCTGAACGGCAGTTGAATCACACGTAGTTGGCGTTTATAAGGTAGAATAGGCTAATACAGCAAATTTTGCGCCAGCATAAAATATTTCATAAAGGGACGATAGAGGGAGCCACATGATTTTGAATCAATCTATATGGGTCAAGTGTCGATATCGCCATCTTGACGCAGACACTGTCAGTTCTCAATGTTTGATTAAGAAACAATGGATATATTTTACGTTACCGTTGTACACGTTATTTTCTTTTTTGTCTCAAATGTGTTGTGCACCAAAGATCGTCCAAAAGTTCAACCGTTCAATTTGCCAACGAATCCTGAACTATGTGACGACGTGCATACCTTATGCACAGCAAAATCTAGCACCCATACCCAGTTGGAGTGGCTTAAGGACGGCGCCAGAATCAGTGATGCGTTCTTGCCTAATGCCACAGTTTCACACATAGGAAGTGCACTAGTTCTTAATATTCAATGTATATCGTTAGCGCACACGGGCAACTATACGTGTTTAGCGCAAAATCCGTATGGAAAAGACGCGTTTACTACGTCACTGGTAATAACATCGCCACCATTTTGGTTAGAAGATACAGGCGTTGAGAGAACACAGTTAATCAGACAATTCAACCGGGGCGATATGATAACGCTACAGTGTCCCGTAGGAGGACATCCAAAGCCGAATATAACATGGTACAGAAGAGGTTAGTTGGTGGAGTACTTGTAATACCCGTTATTATGTATTTTAAAAAGCCAACAATTACACATATGATATGTGGTAGGAAAAAGTTTAACAAATTTGAAAAAAAATTATGCCTCAACGGAATCAAAAATCGCAGCAAAACGATTTTTAGTTTTGCAGAAACGAGTCAAAACAACACAAAAATCAAGGTTATAAACGTTTATTATCAACATTTTATCAAATATTTAAAATCTATTTTTATATTTAAAATCTATACAAAAAAAATGTATTTTAAACCAAATATTAAATTTTCAGTAATACTTTCCTTTAGATATCAGCTCTGACGATACAGCCTTTATTAGGTTACGGATGAATAAGACGCTATTCGCAAAATTATGCTACTACTAATTTTCGGTGTTAGTTGACACATATCCTTCATAAGCTTGTATACAGATTTTTAAAAATATCAAGCCATATATAGAAATAAAACTTGTTTGCTTAAAATGCAGTTTAGTCAAACCGCTTCACCCGGCTGCCGTAACAACGGTAATTAAAAAATTAACATGGGAAGCTTTATAGTTTCATGTTCAAATTCACGTTTCTAATAATCGTTACAAAGTTGCCTAGTGGATGAACATGTATTCTGTTATAAAAAATATAAGACAGGTTTCTCAAAATTTAAGCTGTTATGATAATTAGGCTTTGAAAACTTTTAAAGAAGACGCAACTTTTGGCGTTTTATTTAACAGAGCATATTATTCTCACAATAATTTGCATGGTATGATTTACAACTCAGTCACAGCCTAAAAAATGACTGAGGGGAATAATCAATGTTTAATCCTTTTAATTTAGAGACGCATATCTGTATTTATTTTATTTCAATAATATCTACAAACACGTTTTTTAATTGAACATAATAATAGTAATAGATTCAACTTACACTAGTTGAATGAGCAATGCAATTCTTTGTTTGTGTCCTAATTAGGTAGTAAGTGAGCTATCAAAGCAAAACACTCATTTGTATTAATTCAACGTAATTAATCTTTAAGTTAGTTGTTTTTTGATTGCAATAGGGCTTAAAAGCAACCTTGGCTTTCGTGATGAGTAACAGACTAAAATGAATTAACATTCATTTGCGGAAGCCGATAGTCTAAAAAGGCTTTTCCTTAAACCAAGCCATTTTCAAGATGTTCTAAACTCTAGAATTAAAAAAATATCACAGACATACAAATTGAATAGGAAAGAGTTCATTATAAGGTATAATAACCCGATGAGTGGCATGACAGACAGATAAAACGAGCTTTATTTGAGAATTCGAGTCACTACAGGTTAGTGAGGATGAAGTCTTTTATTGTAAAAATTCACGCAATATTTTTTTCATTGCATGGTAAGACTGAAACCGTCAAATGCATGAATCTTGTTATTACTGTTATCCTGCAATTCAGGAAATTTATCAGAACAAAAAATTAAAATATTGTCTTGACGACCTAAAAAATGTATCAGACAGTTTCAAGTAATCGACCATAAATCACAAAAGTAAGCGTCCAGTGGTAAGCAGACGCACTGGCCTTTAACGGTCGACTTTTCTTTCAGATGGCTCAAGAATTCAATTTTACGATCCGTACAAATCCTGCAAATTGTGCAATACATTTTGTAATATAAATTGACGTTTTTCAGACAATTTGGTGGCTACTTCAGACACATTCTCTTTTAAGACTGTCGACTACGAATCGACGGACAAGGTGACCTGTAAAGCATCGAATGGCATCGGTTTTTCCTTACAGAGGACGTTCAACATTCAGACCATAAGTATGTTGATATAACTTGAACTTAGGTACGTAGGTGACAAAATCACGAGACAAGAGAAGATGTTTGAAGTTGTAATGGGTGTGGATCGTATAAAACATACAGATAGCCAAGCTTGTACACAGAAAGTGGAGAAAAGATTATGTTCACAGCACGGTAAGACGTTGGAGTAGTCTATAGGGAAGAGTACCGGCCCCAAAATTACCAAGGTCTTCCCTGGGCGTTCATCATTTTGATCACAAGCGGTTCACAGGAAAGGTTTAGATGAAAAAATGGTTAAAAAAGCGGTCTCTTAAAGATAAAAAAGATAGAAGATAAAAGATAGAAAAAAACCTTGCACTTAATAAGAAGCATGGTTTCAATCAGGAAAAATGGCTTGTTGTTATTAAAGAAATAGGGCTATATTTGATCCAGATGACGCTCCCGCGGTACGCCTATTTTTTGCTAATTGTGAATGAATGTTTTTTCAATGGTGGACCTACGTTTTACCAAACTGTAAGCCTACATTTTTCTTCCACCTTTAGTACGTTATAAAGTCGTAGTTATAATATGAAGTTTATAAATTTGCCGCTTTTTTGTTCTTTGACATTCATGGGCGGTAGGTGGCGCCACGTGTACCATTAGCATCTTAATTATACACGCTTATTGTTTACACCGCCATCTTGATTAGATTTTTGCATGACATCTGATGCCGTTACTCGGAACATGGAGCTATTTCACATGGTAATGTGGTTGACGGTTATTTGGGTGTCTACTGAAACCCGAGAACCGCCCAAGGTTCAGCCGTTTTTTTTACCAAATAACCCTGACCTATGTGATGAAATCAATGCAATGTGCACTGCTAAATCAACCAGCCATACAGAACTCGAGTGGCTTAAGGATGACGTCCGAATTGGTGGGGATTCTCTTTTGCATTTGCCAAATACGACAATCTCCAATGTAGGAACAGTTTTATTTCTATCAATCAAATGTGTTTCAATAACACATATCGGCAACTATTCCTGCTCTGCGCGAAATTCATTTGGAAAAGATAAATTCACGGCACCTCTGATCATCACAGTATCGCCATTCTGGATAGAAGAAAGTTTACCTTCAAAGTCCACGGTGCACGCAAATGAAGGTGAAACCATTGAATTGTTGTGTCCGGCCACTGGCAATCCCAAACCTAATATCACTTGGTATCGAGGAGGTTAGTAAAAATGTACTAATTATCAAGTACAGCTTAATATTTCAGTGAGTATGTTGTATATAGTGCCGGTCGAAACAGAATTGTATATAAAAGATGACTTCGTTCATGATGATTTACAATGGCTTTCGAATCAAAAAGCCTATTATATTGAGTAGCTCATAACTATTTTTTCAGTCTAACCATTTATGAACTCGTTACCATCAACTGTATTTGAATCACAGAGGCTTTTTTAATACTTGACGAACATTTCCTATGATTTATAATTTTACGCCTTTATTCTTTTGGTGCTGTAAGCATACTGAAGCTAATTATGAATTACCTCAAAAGACAAACCAACCGACTTGCATTTACTGTACTAATAAAACCATAAATAAGAAGACACCCGTGTACTAAAATGGCGCGCATTATATTTAAGAAAGCGCCTGACGAAGTAGAATAATAGGGACTTTATAAGCCAGGTGCTGTTCAATTTACCTATCATAGACAAATAATAATTTTCGTCAATTTTGTTTCAGCACAAGTTGTATCAGTAGGAGATCATCTGAAATTAACCATAGTAGACCGCTCAGCAGCAGGAGAGCTCATCTGTCGAGCTTCAAACGGAATTGCGCCTTCCATTGAAAAAACGTTCACCATCTATATCATATGTATACCTATACATTAGTCACGGAGCAGTGTTTTTATCGAAAATTCGAGTACTAATTCACCGAAGAACGACACGTTCCGTCAGGCTTTCGTGAATTTAATTTGTTTGAATCTTTTAAGGGCAGATACCTTTTTCAACATTACCGAGCGATGGCGCCTCATGGATCATTTAAAAAAAGGTTTTGGGTGTACCCTGCACTATGCAAAGGAATGACCCAATGTAAAGTAGCACTTAGTTCTAAGAAGAAGCGGTATCTTAATCTCATTGTATGAATTCATTTATCCGTTACATAATGAACACGCTGCAGCTTTGATAATTAGTTCATTAATTGCAGATTTGACTCAAGTCGTAGTTTTCTCACTAGTTTTCTGGCTAAAGTATGGCCAGGTATTAAATAGTGAGGTTACTAATGCTTATACCCCACCTGTCATTGGATTTAGATAATTTAATAATGTGCAGCTCAACTCGCAGCGTGCATATTTCCATGTTGGATTGCAGAGAAAATTAGTATTGGAAGTGGAAGGCTTATGGCGATTCATAACGAAACGCAAGTTGGGTCAAGAACAACGAGTTCCTGACTTAACATACAATGATGTAAATCTTTAAATTCAATGTTTCGGAAACTTTTTTTGAGTACTTATTTATAGGGAGTATTAAGAATTTGAGATGCTCGATTTCACGTGATGACAGACAGTGACAGCAATGTAGAGTGAGGTACAATCGAAAATTATACATGTGTAGCAAGGGAACAGGCCTATCTATGGGTACCAGCACAGAGTGCGGCAGTCTTAATTATTTGCTAACACCTGCACACCGAGACCGCAGCAACCGGTTATACTCTTCCTATTTTAAATCTTTGAAGTCTTACATGCGTTGCATAAGCCATCCAGCATTGCTTCACACAGCTGGCTTCCAGCAGGAAACGAAGTATGTTTGCGCTCGGATTAGAAACTAGACCATTACGTGTCCCTAAGTTTAATAAACAAAAATGTTACCACTGCATTACTACGGGGACAAATTCTTCTTAGCTTACGGCATCTTATCCCGATTTCTCAACTAGGACTTCTTCGAGTCACTACTCAATAAATTTTTTGCTCCAACACACCATTACTAACTAACTCATTCGAACAAACCGCAGTTTCACACATGTGAAGTATGCATTAGACTTAAAAAGCGGCCAAGAATCTGAACGAAAATCACTCCTAAGCCAATATAATGCAAAACATTGGTCTTGTAAATTTGCGCGCCTGGAGCGAACGCCAACATTACCGGCAGGTGGCGCCACAAGTATCAGCATGAGTCTCTAAGTATTTCTAAAGCGAAGCAAGGGAAACGAATAAGGCGCCATATTGTTTTGTTCGGCGCCAGTGGACAAAAGTCACTGACATATGTCCATACATGGAACAAAATGAAGTGGTTGCACATAGTTCGGTTTGCACTACAGTGTGTGTTAACCACTATTTGTGGAGGTGCGTACTATCTTAGAAAAAAATTAAATTATTACGGTTATCATTAACGGTTATTATATATTTTCAAAACCATTCAGGAGAATCCAAAAACCTGAACATGAAAGACAAATTTGATTTGCAGCTTCGAAAATTGTTCCGTTTGCATTCCCGGACAACCTTCAACTAGGATCATCGATCGACGTTGTCTGTAGTGTGCCTTCAAATGCACATAAACTCGCATGGTTTAAGGGTAACATCGAGATCAAAAATGGCTGGCGAGAAATCTCAATTCAACAGCCCACAAAACGCTTACTGACCATGTCTATTGATGCCATTACACTTGACCACGTTGGCAACTATAGTTGTCGAGCGTTATTTTTCGATGACACTGAGGACTGGTATAGTGACGAGCTAATTGTAAGAGCTGCACCGTCTTGGAGGGTGGAGCCCCCATCTAAAGTGCAAATTCAAAGCTCCAGTGGAGGCATTTTGAATTGCCAAGCCGAAGGATCACCGCGGCCACACCACTCGTGGGAGAACGACAAAGGGCAATTGGTTCATAATGGGAGTTCACTATCAATTCCAGCCCGTTCAGATCTGCAGTCTGGCGGTGGGACACACAATTTCGAAGTTACCTGCGTTGCTGATAATGGAATTGGACCTTCTATTAGGAAAACTGTTTATGTCACTATATCTGGTACGTATACATATATATAGAAAGAGAGAAAAGGTGGGAAAGCAAGTTTAAAACAGTAGTATACTTTAAGTGAGCGTTTTGAGTACGCTTTGTTTAGAACTTCTGAAATTGTTCCAACTACACTGGATGTCATGCTATAATTGCAGAGAACATTACCTGGCTAAGAAAAAATTGTTATAGAGGCACCTGTCGATTTATTTTGTGGCAGCCAGCAGAAGTTTCTCAAAGGCTGTTAACAGACTGTTGAAGTTTAGATCATTCGGCAATATTTTCTATTATTATTTTACCGTGACTAATTATAAACGGAACGAAAGGTGGTAGTAGTCGCACGGAAAAAGAGAGAGAAATTAGTTGTACGCCTGAGGAGTCCTAGTGTAAATGCAAAATTTTAAGTCAAATTATACCAGCGATACGTTTTGCTAGAAATACGTAGATAAACATCTTCTTGTGCAAGCATCTATACCTTTACTTTATGAAGGCTATGTTTACTATGCAATGAACCAGATCAATACGACTGACTAGTTCTCAATTATGCATTAACCTTCAAGACTTACCTGGCGGATACAGATGTAAATGATCTCGCTTTATTGATACATAGAAGCTATAATGTGTTAAAAAATAATGAATCGATCTATGATCGATCTTAGGCAATACAGTTCGTTGGGCTCGTCTATCATAATATTTGACACATTCAGGTGCATGTCCTACACGTAACTGTGAGGTAAATATGTCGCGATCAGCAACTCATCGCAGCTTATTTAAGGTGATATACTCCATATTGGTAGGTTCAATATATTTATGCGTATTGCGGACGGGGACATTTTACTTTTTGTCAAAAAACCTAAAGAAGTCAGATGAGGACACGCGTTGTTAACTAATATACTCCCAGGGCAGAGAATATCCATGGCAAACTTTTGCGTAATTGTATTGACAATAAATGCCGCTGAGGAATAGATTGTTGTTGTCGAAGACCGTGTATACGACAGTAATAAGTGCCACTGTGGAGAGCCAAAATTTTAAGCGTCTGACAATGGGGTCGTCTCTTATAAGGACTCTCTATAACGTGGACTATCGGCAGTAAGATGTATGCTTCTCATACGTCAGATAACTAGAGTTATCCGAGCTTGCGCAAGAATAGCGGAACTATTCAAGAGAAAGTTACACTACATTTAACGAAGGTGGATGAAGTTTTGCTATTAATAACCAAAACCATCTAGTGGGAACATGCAGGAAACCATACGTGTAGTGCTTGTAACCGTGTCGGAAGTAACAGACTTACCACAATGCTTTCAATAGCTTTTACCCCAATGTGGAAGTCCACGATAGGTGGGAAAAATGTGATTGTTCAAACAATCGATTTTCTTGCTTGAATGCCATGTTGCTGGATTTTACTACCGAACATCACCTGCATCGCAATAAAAGTCCGTGAGATAAGAAAGGTGGATAAAGTCGAAGTATAGAATTATTTATAAATCTGTTGCTCTAATTTTTTTATACCTCTGTAAATTTGAAATGGATTATACGAATTTTTCAGTTTTCTACACCCAGTTACCCAAGATCAATCATAACTATTTAAAAAAACATGAGATGCGCGCTATTTTTTAATGCATAGGCTCGAGTAAAATGCTTCATCTAGTAAACGGTTTGACCATATACTAGATATGTGAAGACAAAATGAGCATGAAGGAAATTAACCGTCTATTATGGTATCTGTATTTCATAACCTAATTGCGACTGCTTACTAGTTAGAATCGTGTAGACATTTAATCATGCAACCTGACTTCAAACGGATTCAAAATCCGCCGCCGTTTCACGAGTTTTATTGAATCGCCGATGGATGCCGCCACATGTACCGATTTAACAAGAGTTAGAGTTCGTGTTTTGGCAATAGCGTGTAGCGCAGCGCCATATTTGCTCACCGTACAAGGAGACCGACATGGGTGGCAGATCATGGATTTACTTGAGTTACGTTTTGCTACTTTACCTGACCTTCCAACATGTGCTAGCAGGTATGAACTAGTTGAAGCGACATATTATTATTGTATGTAGCGATCTATTTTTTTACATATGATGTATCTTGTGAGGACATTTGAGACAAAACCGTATGTGTTGATCTGACTTGATAATTTCCAGGATTACCAAGCATTCCGACTTTTGCAATTCCTGAGAAGAATTCCCTTGGATCCGAGATAAAAATTACATGTTTCTCAGCTGGAGCTACAAGTTTATCATTATTCAAGAACGGTGTCGCCCTTCAAAAAGGGCAAAGAGGCACTGAAATCACACGCATGGGCGGTTTGCTTATTTTATCCATTGAGAAATTACATGTAGAGCATGCAGGAAACTATACCTGTGTTGCCTATAATCAGGAAGGTTCTAAAAGTTCTAGCGCGTTTTTGGCTGTAATTGCCCCGCCAACGTGGATAACCGTTCCTCAAACCCAGGTTTTGACAAAACAGGCTTCGGCAAGTTTGGAGTGTCAGGCTGATGGATTTCCACAGCCAAATATATCTTGGACGAAAAACGGAGGTTTGTTCCTGCAAAAATCATATTTTTTATGTGTCATATTTTTATTTCTCTTTTCTTGCTGTGATGATTAATCTTTTGTAAACGCCGTGGCCATAAATAAACCATAGTTTTAGCATATTTTAGGATCCGAAGCAGTTCAGTTATTTATAAAACTTTTATTGAATTGCAATATTACTACTAAATGTCTGTTTAAGGGCTCAATATGTGTATTTATGGCTTACCTTCCAGATATTATTGGGAATGTGGGAATACTGCGATTTGATGAAGTAGATGCTAGCGATGCAGGTGCTTATGTCTGCATAGCCCGGAATGACTACGGTGTAATTCAGCATAGTATTGACGTATCTGTTTTCTGTGAGTACCGGTTAAAATTTCCCGCCATTTGGAGTAACTTCCTTAATGGCCGATGGATGGCGCCACCTATTCCAAACCATCGAAACATCGTAGCAGTATTCAGAGTACGAAACAACCGCCATAGTCGTTTCCAAGTGACTTCAGTGCTATAAAAATGACATCTGTAAGTTGGCACACGTTTTGTATGCTTTCCCTAATCATGGGACCCAAAATGTGTTTAGCAGGTATGTAGCACGAGAATATCCAACGCTAGCATCAAATAACATACCGAAAATTTGCTATTAATTCATTTCGATTTTTGGCACTAAGGAATGCTTTGTATACAGAGCTGCCGAAAATTACTCCATTCAGCTTCATCGAAAATACAGCAGGAAAAATGGTCAAGGTGACGTGTTTCTCTACGGAGAAAAGCGTTCTTTCATGGGAAAAAGATGGTACAGTTCTCTACAATGGTCAACAAAATATTTCTATCAAGGAGTTTGATGAAATGTTGATCCTCTCGATCAGTAGCTTACGTCCGGAGCATTCGGGCAATTATACATGCAGTGCGCGGAATCGTTATGGCTCCAGTCACTTTAGTGCTTTCCTGGCAGTCACTGCTCCACCACACTGGAAAACTACACCTCAAAGTGAAGTTACTTTGATTATGGGAAGTTCTCAAAAACTTGTGTGCGATGTCGAAGGTTATCCGGACCCCAACGTTACCTGGACGCTTTTCGGTGGTATGTTATTGCATTTGGTTATGTTACCAATCCAGAGACTACAAGCAACTCAGCAGTCTATTGTTTTACCTATACAAGTCCTTCACAAAATCACTTAGTAAAAGTTGCTAGAAGTGTTTCCTAAGACGAGGGTGCTTTATTTCACGCATGTTTTCGTTTAATACGTGGCCGGTCCTGAATCGAGAATATTAATAGTGTTGTCAATCGTAGACCTGGTTGCAAGCGATTGCACATAATAATGACAGTTACTATTATTTATCAATTTAATTTGCAAATTTTAAAGTAAAAGATCACATCTGTTTACACGTACCCAACAAGATTATTCCAACCAAAAATGGTGCCCGACCAAAAACCTTCTGGTTATAAGTCTCGAGCGTTATCGCCTGCTCCACCATTTCAAATGTTTTTTCAAAAATGTTTCTTTAGATCTGGGAAGTTATTGTGAAATGATTTCAATTATACTACGCGTATTTTGAATAATATTTCGTATACTAATGTACAGAGCAATCTCGAAAGTTGGTGAAGTCTTTCCGAAATAAATTTATCTCTTTTTGTTATAAGAATTATTATCTTGTTTTACAGAAACCATCTGGAAAGGATCTACACTATATTTTTCATCTACAAATGCCAAATCGGGGGTTTATTCTTGTATAGCCGAAAACCAGCATGGACGGATCCAGTCTGATATTAAAGTCTCACTGCATAGTGAGTTGGCCTAACGAGACAGCAAAAAAAGCTATTCAATAAGTCGATCACCAATGCATTTACCTCTTGCTTGTGCAAATCTGCCTTGAATTGAACGGCTTCATTAGAGGTTATAAATGGCACTACATGTACCACACTTCGGCGTTCTGGTACCCGGAAGTTTCACATAGCATAATTAATGCTAATCGAGATGACACTAATGGATAAATACTGAACATCTTGAATACTACAGGCATAAAGCAGAAAACCAAGTTTTATCTATGAAGTAAGAGAACAGATTAAACCTGGTTTAAAAAATAAATCTTCAAGGCATATAGGTTATATCAAGACTATTCAAACATAATGCATGGCTCTCCGAACGTAGTCCCCTAATAATATATCAAACAAAATATATGCTGACAAATTGCGTTTGCACACTGATCCTAAAGTATATCATCACATAGACGTTCAGCCTCCTTCAGTTTCTAAAAAGAAGTACATCAAACTCATCTTCTGCCATTTAGTTAAAAAATTGCAATTTAGAGATTTTAAAATAGAAAAGACGGATCATTGTATACGAGTTCCATGATAAATGAACGGCTTTTTGCACGTGTTTTACCAAAGATCAAGAAATTTTCCAAATTCTGAATAAGTAGACATCAAAAAGGTAGTCGTTATTACAAAAAAGGTTTAAAGCATACTTTTGAGTTATTTTAGGGTGGCCTATAGTATTTTTATTTTAAATGATCTTTGAGTACAGCTTGCAGTTTAACGTAGGGCAATTGTTGAAGTATCCAGCAATTATAATGTACATGCAGTCAATGCTGATATCCAAGTACATCCTGGCTTTCAAAAGTACTACTTAAAGTGTACTTACGGTTCTCACAATAATATTTATACGAACTGCCCAACAGAGGTGAAAATATGTTCAACTTATTTCCTGCTAGGCGCAACCGTTATAGTTGTTACAAGCAACATAGCGAGAAAATACGTGATATTCATGAACATAACTCGATCAAACGTGGAACAACATTCCTATACGAAAATGCTACCTTGTACTCTTGCAGTTTACCTGCTGCATTTTTCGGCTCCCAGATGGCCACATGTCAAAGAATTGACAAGGACTTTAACAAAAGAATAACACACATGCCAACAAATCAAAGACAAACAAAGAGCTCTGCAATTTTTATTACCGTCATTTACGAGGCTATGAAATTTTCTGACGCTAAGCCTGTAGAAGAAAATCTGTTTAATCACTGTTTTTACCGGTGAATAAGTGTTAATATATGTAACGCTTTTGCTTGAATTCGTGTTTTTAATTCGGCTTCAGTTATAGGCTTCTTACAAGTAGCAAACCTACTTTTATATTTCAGTATAGTAAATTGGAAGAATTGTTTACCTACGCTAGTAATAACCCAACATTAAGCGTAGCGTATAATTTAGTGTCCCTAGTGGTAACGCTGATCACCATATACGAGAAAAGCGTTGATTATATAGTTGAAACCGTCTGGAAAATAACAGTACTACTGTATTAAAGTTTTAACTAGAATTAAACTTAACGACGGACAATAAAATGGCATTATGAAAAGGCTCAATGTTTAACCCACGGGCATCTTCTTGCTAAAAATTTATGCAATATACATGCTTGGAATATGGGTCTCATATTTATTAACTTTATGACTTGCAACATTTAATAATTGATACTCATCAAGTTTCTCGGTAGATACAATCGGATGGTTCGAACGCGTAAAATCAGCCGAACTTCATACGTTCACTAGTGTCCAAGAATAACTGTTTTCAACGAAAGTCGCGTATAATTAGCATTTCCATATCGTAATAATTAATTATGATAGCTAATGTTTTCAACAAAGCTACAACTATAAATATATCAGCACTTGTTCAAATGTAATTTGTATTACATTATTTGTATTAATTACTATTATTTGTAGGCTGTGAATCATATTTCTTTGTGCTTCAGATGGAAGTTATCGCCAAAAACGGCTAGGATTTCGGTCGGCGGATGGCGCCATTTGTATCATGGTGTACAATACTTACGGAGCCATTTTACAGGCTCAAATAGCTCTCACAGACCTATAAACATATAAAGCTACGTAGGAAGACGCTATGTTTGTTTATCAGACAATACGTCCTAGATGAACGACCATGTCCTTGATGATGAATTATCTATTGTACACGAGCTATGTATGTATTTTCCTGTTACTCAAACGTATGAATGCAGATTAGTGACTTTTGCACTGCTCTTCATGAGGTTTATTATCATCCCTGTTAAAGAAGATTTGCCGTTCCAACAGTGCCAACTTAAGCGACAGTTATTTTTAGGACTTCCAAAAATGGCTCCATTCGGTTTTTCTGAGAACATGGTGGGTCGAGCAGCTAAGTTATTTTGCGTCTCTAGGGGTGGTTCGTCTTCGTCGTGAATCAAAGATGGCCGCTTGCTACTCGATGGCTCTGATGGAATTTCGCTCAAACTATTGGAGGGAGCGTACATGCCTTCTATAAGTGAGCTTCGACCGGAGCATTCTGGTAATTATACGTGCATTGCGCGTAATCATGACGGTACAAGTAGCTTCAGTGCTCTCCTTGGTGTGATAGCTCCTCCGAGATGGACTGATGCACCTCAAGATTTAATCTTCAGTGGCAGCTCTGAAGTAACCAAAGTTATATGTGATGCTTCCGCATACCCCGAACCCAATGTCACACTACGCAAAAATGGAGGTTAGTTGAAATTGAAGTACCCCTAGAGTCGAAAATCTAACTGCAAAAAATAAAGACTACTTTTTCTATGCTCTCATTCACAGTTTTCTGTATTAAATAATAATAAAATAAAAAGATAAAATAATAACTTTAAGACAAGATCCGTGAGTGAAGATTAGGTTTTAACACGATTGCTTGGAGTCGGTAATGCAATATGATGCAATATTATAAGAGGTTAACATTACACAAAAAATGGCGCTTTGATACCATGGATACTCATTTCTCTGTCTTATTTCGAGGTTATTAATATACTGATGGTATTGCAGATGTGATTAATATTGGAAGCGTTTTTCGCATCCAAACGATAAAAGGAACCTTATCTGACGATTATACTTGCCATGCATCAAACGAATATGGAGTTATACACCACAGTTTTAAAATTCTCATATTCTGTAGGTTTGTCATGATGTGATACCTATCTAACTTCACTTTTGTAAATGTTGGTTTTTTCGCATATTAAATTAAACTACACAAGATAACTTGCTTGTGATATCTGTGAGTTTCGTATATTGAGTTGCTTTTACTTGAAGATAGTTGGGAATTTTCAGAAGGGACTATCGAAACATTTGAAACGGGCATACTTCGCGCTTTAGATGAACCTTCCTTTTGTGGCCAATGGATGGAGCCACGTTAATAAAGGCCTATATTAGCTGGCTGGGTCCCAATAGATTAGGGCAAAATAGTAACGTCCATATTTATTTTTGTGGATCATATGCTGGGTATGCACACTGACTGTCCAACGACAAAGGCTAGACTTGATGACTGTCAAATGTATACATCCCGCATAAGCAGTGATTGCATAAGCTCTGTAATATTGTGACGTAGGTGGTTTTTTAGACCACTGATACTGTCCTTTAATATAGTCCTAACAATATTGTAAAATAACACACACAAACACATTGTATATAAACAATGCAAAAACCCTGACCGTTTACGACTCTTTATAAACCGTGAGAAAAAATGTGGAACTCAAATATTTGATCGGTAAATTTTCGAGGGCCGCCGCATATTTGACCATTTGATTTCATGGAGAATAGTGAAGACTGTTTTACCAAAGCAGCTTGCATCTTTAGAACAGACAATAGACTCTCGTAGTCATTAAATGGATAATATATGACCGGCCGAGTCGATAATATCACTATACTCTTTGAAGGAACACTTTCCGCCATTATCAATACCCTTATACTAAAATATTCAGGGAATTTTACGTGTATGGCACGCTTCAGATAGCGCCGTGCTGACAATGGCTGTTCCTCTGGACCGGTTGGCTGTTCCACCTGTTTATGTTGTGACCCTAAAGGATGTCGATGAAAGACCTATATGCGAAGCTCAAGTATACCCCGAACAGTTTTCGTTCCTACAGGGTATGTTTTCAAAATATTTTCTTACATACTGAGAAAGGTTAAAAAAGTTGAACGTATTCATTAATATAGTAGCAATGTATGTGTACACACAAACGGCTACATCAATTCATGCCGTCGAAAATTGAATTTCAAATGTGCATACGAAACAGACTTAACATTTGCCGCTTTCTTTTCCTGTGAGGCCGTTGGAATATTAAACTAAACGACTGGCGCGTGTTGGTCCTTTTCGAATAAGTTATAACACCTAATTCTTGCAAACTCATATGATCAATTCGACCCAATGTCGTTGCAAAGGTAACTTCAATCGGGAAAACACTGGGGTTTCCGCCTCATCACTCTAGACTCGGCGTGTTTACATGTATAGCAAATAACAGAAATGGAGGCATTCAATATAATGTTAATATTTTTATATATTGTCAGTAACATTTGTAGACATGGGTAATTGCGCATAAAAAGTGTTGATTACAGTTGGTTCATCTTGATTAATTTTCCCTGTGCAAACTGGCTTTGATATTTGGCAGGCAGGTGGCGCTACATGTCTCACAACTTGGCCTGTTATGGACTTTTGTACTACGTTATTAAGCTCAACGAGGGCATCGCCATTTTTGTTTATCACTCTAATAGTCCTGTGGCAACCATGAAGGCATCTGCTCATGTATCTGTTGCGTTTCTATTAGTTCCCTACTCTCACTCTGGTAACTGCAGGTAACTGTAACTGATTTGTCATGCCCTAGTGTCGAATGATTAAATTATTATTAACATAATAATAGAAATACATAAATGAAAGTAATATAATAATAATAATAGCTCTTAATTAAAGAATTATGCAGAATAAATTAGCCGAACCCTTTTGTCGAATGCATGATAAATTGTTATATTACAAATCCTCCAAAAATTTCGCCCTTTCACTCCCTCGATAATAAGATAAATAGCCAAGTGCGAGTATTTTATGTGCCCTTAAAAGCTATTTCAATCAGTTGGTCCAACGGCAGCGAGCTTCAAAACGGCATCAGTGGAATTTCCGTTATTTGCTCTCAATAAGCCAGCTCCAACAGGAACATTCGGGAAATTACACTTGCACTGCGCGTAATAACGATGTCTCGAATAACTTTAGTGTTAGCTGTTGCTTCTCTTCCCAAGTGGAAAAAGATCCCAGAAGATGTCTTAGTAACATAAGGAACTGCAACAACGAAACTTGTATGCACTGCATACGGATTCTTTGAACCAAATGTTACGTGGTACAAAAGTGGAGGTCTGTAAGCTGCCGAATCTAACATTACATTTATTTTTTTTGGATAAAAAATTGATTTTTACAAATATGTTGATACATCGGGATTATCGGGATCTAAAAACAAGCAAATTAAAACGAGAAACTTGAATAAAAAGCTTAGTATGCAAATTTGGATTACACTGTGGTAGTTGTTCATGCTGTTTTGTAAAATAGCTTCCCGGCTCCATTGCAGATTTGTTACATACCGGAAAAGAGCTCGATGTATCGTTGTATTTCAAAATTAATGAAATTGCCGGGCCTTACACATGTCGAGCTACAAATGAACATGGAACTATTCATCACAACTTTAGAATAGCCGTATTTTGTAAGTGTGTATCGGACTCACTATTATATTTACAACACAAACGTTGCAAACGTTGAACTTTTTGAGCGATATTTATGATATTATATAAATTACATCTAGAGCTTATTTTTGTACTTCGTTGTGGAGTGCTTTGATTACTTTCCCGCCACACGGAAAGCTTAAGGAAATGGCCGACGGATGGCGCCACCAGGATTATGCTCGAAATATATCTGATTAATTGAATGAGGGCAAAACAGGGAGGCCATATTTGTTGTAGCTGCAATGTGCATGTCACGATCATGTTTGCAACATTTTCAACAGCTGTGTGCTTATTCATTTGTGCGCATCTTAGTGACGCTGGTAGGTACCTGTCCTTTTTGTCACCGACGACCACGCTTTTTAAACCAGTAATATACAAGTAGCGTGTTTAAGCTTATAAAGCAAAAGCAAATGTATTAGGATTTCTATTATGTTTCATGGCAAATTACAGGACCGCCGCGCATATCACCATTCGATTTTACTGAAAATACTATAGGTCGTGCTTCCAAAGTGGCATGCGTGTCAGGCAGTGGCAATACACTCTTGTGGACTAAAGATGGACGCCGAATATTTAGTGGCATCGATGGCATTGTCATCCAAGAGCTACAGGGAATGTCAGTTCTCAACATTGAAAACCTCCAACCATTTCATTCTGGCAACTATACATGTACGGCAACAAATCAGGACGGAAAATCCAATTTTAGTGCTTATTTAGCTGTAGCAGCGCCACCTCAGTGGAAGTCATTCCCGCCTGAAACACTAATTCTTTCTGAACGGCCCGCCAATGGTTTATCTTGTGAGGCGTTTGGCTATCCTGAGGTTAATGTCACGTGGAGCAGAGATGGAGGTCGGTTTTATTTTATATTTAACTTGAAACATAATTATAATGTGTGTATCACGTTTACAGAAAACTGCGTTAGCTTGTAATTAGGGCGCTATTACAGAACGCCCAGTATATTGAAATGCACTATAAAATTACGAACGTTTTCAGTTTGCTGTTCTTTAAATGTATTTAAAAAAATGTTGTATCTTTTTGCAGATCTAATACACTCAGGCCGTATTCTTAATGTAGGACCTCTGAGGCAATTTGTGCCTGGAAAGTACACGTGCCATGCTTCCAATGAGCACGGAAGCATTCAACACAGTTTTACGATATTGATATCGTGTAAGCTTACCATGTTACTGCTGCATTACTCATATCGGTGCATGGTTGATTTCTATGTACAGTTGGCCAATTATAACTTGAAACTTTGTGCCGAACGTTCGACTTTTTAAATTGCCAATGAATAGTTCTATGTTATGCGTATAATTTGAATAAGTTCGAAGAGGAAAATACAAATGAATGTTTATGCTCTTATTGTTACTATGCTTTACTCCACCCGGAAAAACTGAAATGATTATAGAATTGTTGGCCACTAGAACTTACCTGCGTACTTATGTCCTCAGGCTTAAGTGCGCCCCCGCGTTAATGAATGTGCTCGATTTTCTAAACAATCTTGTATATATTATTATTATATTTTTCATATAGCTGGACAAAAATTTTACCAAATGAATGCCAATATATCAATATCAATAAACCTCACGTACCTTTCCTGTACAAGTCTGAGGTAATCTTCTAGAAAAAGATGGCTATCTTGCTAGACAACACGGCCAGGACAACAAAAAAAAATGTCAAAAGAAGTATTGATGCCGAGTATTGATAATAATGTACAACAGGAAGCAATACTTTTGCAACAGTGCGAGTTTGACTACTGATTGTGGGTTAACAGAAGTATTTCGAATTACGTATGTATCATCCCTTAAAAACAACTGTTTTGTCTGGGTGAAGAATGGAGAGAACACACGAGCGAGAGTGTTGTCATCTTGGCCGAGCTGGCACCCTCTATGAGGCAATAATTTATTTGAAATCAAATGCTACTTATTTAACTGCAAAAGAAATGCATTGTTAAGTGTGCTTCGTTTTATCAAAGTACTGTGCTATTTCATTTATACCCATAAAAAAAATATTTTAGAAAGCAGTTAGTTTATGACTGATACGAACTAGTGGTAAAAATTTTGTAACACAGAAATAGTTGAGTTCAACTCAATTGAAAGAAAATTTTGATGGGTGTCGTTATAATATGCCTTACATTTGTAACATAATAATGTTTACAAGTGTGTTCAAAGAGGCTTTTTAAGGCTTTTCAGCATTTTAAAGGTAAAGTGTTCGTCTATATACCAGTCATCCCTCTATAATTATACTGTGGCTCAACTATACATGATAAGCTGTATCGAGTGCAATAGGAAATATATAGTTGAGCGGGAGCCTTTAAAATTACTGCTTACGCAAAATCCTTTGCATTATACGTATTATAACATTGCGCCGTTTCGTAATTCGAAATCTGAAAGGTTCCGCTTAAAATTAAGAATTTCATTAAATGGCCGACGGATGGCGCCACATGTATCAGTTGTCATTTTTGTTAAAACAAGGCTCGCCCACGCAGCGAGAGCCATGTTTGTTATGATATGTTAGACTGAAGACATCATGTATGTGTTCACTCGAGGACCATTACTATGCCTAATATTTACACATTTTGTGAACGCTGGTATGTGCAGTTTTACGTATTTTTAATTATCGAGATGCTTACACCTGTCAGTGATATAAAAAAATCACTACTATGCCATTACGCAACGATAAGTGAAGCAGGTATAAAATTAATTTCAGGAGTGCCGAAAGTTGCCCCTTTCGGATTTTCTGAAAATTCACTTGGTCGTGAAGCAAAAGTCGCTTGTATTTCAGCAGCTGGAACAAGTCTGCAGTGGTTTAAAGACGGTCAGCGTATCCAAGACGGCTTGAACGGCTTTAGCGTACAAGAATTTCAAGGAACATTAATTTTGACAATTGATAACCTACAGCCTAAGCATTCCGGAAATTATACATGTACCGCACGTAACCAAGAGGGCTCTGCTAGCTTTAGTGCTTTTTTGGCAGTAGTAGCCCCGCCACAATGGGAGAAGACACCTAATAGCAAACTGACACTTTCTAGATCATCTAGCACAGAGCTTCTCTGTATCGCATCAGGATACCCCGAACCAACTATAATATGGATGAGAAATGGAGGTGATCACTTGACAACTACTTCTGGAATTTATATCTTCTCTTGATACTGTTTTGATGTTTAAGTGATAATATTCAGTACTCTCGCTCCTTTTTAAGTTTTCTTCGATTAAAGCTATGAGCAATGTGTGTTACAATTGCAGAGATCATACAGAAGGGAACTGCGTTTCATCTTTCATTAGAAGAATCAACTTCTTCGGGGTCATATTCATGCCAAGCGTCGAATGAACATGGAACAATACAAAATGACTTTCAGATCACTGTATTCTGTAAGTCAATTTGGTAATGCCAACTTGAGTAGACCATTTTTTACATTATCATAAAACTTTTATCTCACTAACGATAGATGGAATCAATGCCTGTAAAAAATTCTTAGTGTGTTCTCATATGTTTTAACAAGATCAGTAACGCGCTACTGTATACGAAATTCAAATTATTATTAACCCTGAAGGTTTTTAGACTTGAATGGAGGTTTAATTTTCTTGCCGTAGAAGTCACTAATTGCTCTCTTGTTGCCCAATGCTATATAACAAAATTAATTTCTCTCTTTTTTTTTTTAATTCCTTTTTTTAGTCGCTTGATCGGCAATTGGCAATGGCCTACACGACACGTATGATTATTTTATGTTTATTTTATGGTTATGCACATACGTCAAGTCTAGCGCTTCATTCTTCTCAGATGTGGTTCATTCTGGAAGTGCTTTCAAATAGATTCGTGGGTGCTTGTGCTTCAGATTACTTTACATGCTAGGCACCCAATAAACATGTAATCATTCACCGCAATATCGCGGCTTCCCTTTTTCATAAGTGTATCGAGAAGCAGTAATAATTTGTTAACAAGGTATTATTTTAACTGCAACGCTTACCATTCATACGGAAATCGTAAGAGTCAATTGATGATGTCATGCGAGCTATTACCAACGCTACTTGTTATGGGCACCTTAATAATATACATTGTCTTAAAATTACATTATTTAAATAAGAAAAGAGATATTATTTTTTTTGCAAATATTTGACCAGTATTTAACGACACACTTGAGTTAAGTTAGAAAAAATAGAATCCCGTGTAAGGTATCTATCTGTTAGGACATACGGCTGAACCTTGTAATGTTTCGGTATAGCTGTCGCCAGCACATGTATCGTTTACGTTCTGAAATAAGGTTCAGGTTAGATAAACACTACGCTTCTTCTGAGATGTTCTGCCAACTGATGTTGCAAACTGTAATCAAGTTCATTGATTTATTTTTATTGTAAAGTAAATCAATAAGTTAAATTTGTTCATTTCTTATTGCAGAAATGAACTAATTACTGCTCTATAATAGCATAATACCCGTTACATATTATCGTACCAATTTGCTTTTATAGCTAATAATTCTGGAAGATCGTACCATGGCAGAGGTGAAGGTGAACAATATAGAAATATGTACAAATTCCAGTGCGACACGTTTTGCCATTCGTTGGTAATGAAGCCAGCATTGAAGGGGACGCCAAGGTTGCTTGCATTTTCTAGGAAAAAAATTAACTTCGTTGGCCGGAAAATAAACTTTGCACGATGTGTGTGTGGTGAAACGACAGTCTAAGAAGTACGACGATTCAGCATACCTCAACTCGAGAATTCGAAAAGTTCCACGTATTCTGCCATCCAAACACGAAATTTTAAGCATAATTTAGGAGCAGTATCCTAATTCAGCGCTTAATTTGCTTTCGCAGTTCCATCAAATTGGCTACGGACGCCTGATGGAGTCGTTGCAATATTTCAATAATAAAGAAGTTGGATTCAACATGTAGAGCTTCAGAATTTCCTAAATCGACCGTTACTTGTGCACTATATACTGTATACGAAACTAGCTGAAAAAACAAGCACCTGCAATTGCAAACATT